CTACCCGACGAAGGAAAGATGAGATGGAAAAATAGACGAAAAGATGAAAACATCTTATTCTCATCCAATTAAATTCATGACTTTTAATTATAATTCAGTTATTGCACACAGTAAATAGTTTCTTTACGAGCTCAAAAAAAGACAAAAGAAGGATGATTTAATTGACAAAAGGTAATTAGGCAGATTCACACATCGAGAATGTTTCTAAACATTATATTTAATTAAATTAGAAATCAATTTTTTTGTAATATTACAGCAGAACATATTTGTAATTTTTGTAAGTAGTAATGCCTAATCAAATTTCATTCTTAAAAGCTAAGGCTCATTTATTCCCTAATACATCCTTTACATTCCATTCGTCTATTTTTTGTGAAGTAAAAAATATATCAAAAAGCAAATTGTTTAAACAAGATTAGTTGATGAAAAGAAAAAATTCTTCAAGGAACCAAATTAAAATTTTAAATTACTTTCCACCTTCGGAACTGTAATTAAACAGTAGTTGGAAGATTTGAATTCTTTGGATCACACTAAACGAACTCATTATGTTCACATTAGCAATTCGTGAAATGCGTGGGAGGTCATTTCTTTAGTTGCCGTCTGACATTTCAACTACATAACGGATCACATCTTCACCGTTTTCTTCTTCGTTTATGAATACCGCCTTTTATTACAGGTTGTCGGAAGACTGACCTATGTGTTGACAATTAAATTCAAAAAACGCAATTTTCGGACTGTTTATGTGCTTTTTTTTTTCATTTATTTCAATTACCATTAACTCCCTTCTATCATTTAAATTTAACAATAAATGGATCCATCATGGAATTTTTCTTCTTCAAAGAATTTTTTATTTCACTACTGCTTGTTAAAAGCAATACAAAATAGAAATTCCATTAAGACATGGAATATGAAATATTTATAAAGTGTAAATCTTAAAAATTTTAAGTTAAGTTTGAAATTACTTAAATATTTCAAAAGATTGTTATAAAATTATTATGAAAGTTAGGCATGTAATCTATAATAGGTGGAATCGATACGTTTAAAATATAAATGTGAACGAAAGAGGGAAAATAAATAATTACACTAATAAAAAAGTAATTATCGTCCGTTAGCAAATTATATTAAACATAAATTGTTTGTAGTAATAATATATTTGCTATGAAGCTTATAGAATTTGGCCTGAAGTTTTAAAAGTTTGCAAAGACTTTGAGTAAAAATTTTTAAAATATGAAACATAAAAATACTTTTTGCAAAAAAAAGTCAGTCCTTTTTTTGTCGGTGCGAAAGGTCATATCAAAATATGATCTTCAAATTTCAAACATCACAGCGAATAATAATGGAGATATTGAAAGAAGGAAACCTCAATTATGTGAAATTTCAATTGGCAGAATGGTGGAACAATCCGAAATAACGAATTTCGCGTCTGAGCGTTTCTGTCATTCATTCTTCTAATGGCGCGACATTTTTATATGCATAACATTCACTTTCGAGTACGACAAAGGGAGAAATTTCCTCAATGACTTATTGAATAGATTTTAATCAGTAATCAAATAACCGAATCGCTTTTTTCCGAGAATTGCCGTAATAACGTTTTTTTTTTTAAAGAGATGCGTATTTATTTAATTCGTAACAAAGACTTTTTATTGAACCTATTCCACCGTTAAAATAGAATTTAATAGGAATGTAATTACCTAAAATCAAAAAAATCTCAGAATGAAGACGCTGATATTATGAAACATTACTGATAAGATGATTGAGATTAGGGCTGATAACATGAGATATCATTGATAAAATGATTGATTGAGTTTCTTTCAAAGAAATAAATGTAGAAAAATGATATTTATCAAAATATGTATAATATCACTGATCTATCTAATAGACAAATCTTTTTAGTAATGGCTTCCAAAAAAAAAAAGGCCAAGAAAGACTATAATTAAAGGATGGGAAATGGATTTGAGGCGGTGTTGTCATGATAAGAAGAAGGAGATTAGGAACGGAGGGAGGAGGGAATTGTAGAAGTATAATAATTTAAAAATGAGAAAAGAATGAAGGAGGAAGGAAGGAAGAATGAGACGATAAAACAGGGATGGATGACATTTTCCGCCCAATGTGTGTCAGCTAAGTGTCAAAAAATACAACCGCAAATTAAATTGGTCTTTGCACTGCACCACTGAGAACTAGCATTGAATGAGATGTATGATGAATGACGACTGACGACGATTGAAACTAAAACTTATAATAATGTTATTGAATAGATCATTTTGAGCATATCTGATCAGATCAGAATAGATCAATTCTATTTCATTTCTAAATTATACATTATCACTAAGGTATGAATATTGCCTTCATTTTCTAGAATATTTCGAATATGTTCCAGAAAATATTTGAGATTATTGACATTGTGTAACAAATAGTCCATATAATTTAGCAATAGTCGGATATTCTCAAGAAATAAGGGATCATTTTCGCTTAAAATTAAAAATTTTTAAAGGCATAAATCTATTGGTTATCGATAACAACTGGACATTTCAAATATTTTTAACGATTAGAAGTATGAATTTCACGAAGAAACACTGATTGAATCTTTCTAAACAATATACTAAAATTTGTTTTACTTATTTTATTTTAAAACTAAAAAAAGAAAAGATGTGGCAGCCAGGAGATAAATTGAATAGCTCTAGGCTCTAGACCAATAAATGAAATGAGAAAAAAAGGCACAGGAACTCGCTGGCATATGTGCCATAGCAACACCAAAAGCATGTTTTGATTTAAACTATATAACTAAAAACTGGTTAAAAGAAAACATTGTAATAAAAATGATAAGCTTAGCATGCTAAATTAAAATATTGTACCAACAAATTGTACCAACTCATTCTACCTCGTACTTACTTTATGTCTTGTAAAATTACTTATGCATATCTTCGATCAATGATTGTCATCCTTTAAAAAGTGAAAATGATCGAATTTCAAGTAGTAATAAGTTTGAGATAGAATGGAAAAATCGTGGCTCCAACATTCTTTTTATTTCATAACAAAAGAAACATTTCGATTGAGGTTAAAGGTAAGAATAAGTAATTTTACACTGATATGAGTAAATGTGAAGAAATCTTCTTTGCTATGATCTTTCGCTAAGAGTAGATCAATTGTTGCGCAGTTTGAGATGATAGAACTAATTGAAAGTAATAACTTGTAATGGAGAGTATTTGGATTGATGTTTGTGTAAAATAAATTTTCAAAACATCAATCACAGATCCACATAACAGGCTAAAGAATTGGAAATTTTAAATATGAAAATGGAATTTCAAAATGGAATAGATGTTCTGATGATAATTGCAAATTATTTGTTCACTTATTTATGTGCCATATTTCATTTTCCATTTCAGTATGAGTAATAATTCTTTCAAAGCAATCGCATTTTAATTTTTCTGAATAATATTTCAAATCTATTTTGATTAGCAAAATGATTCTATCTATCCAATGATCAATTCATTCTTAACGAAAGATTATAGCAAAAAAGATTTCTCCACATTTATATCATTGTAAAATTATTTATTCAGACTTTCGTTCAATTATTTAATTTCTATAATTCATGTCAACTATACTGATCTCATTGCACAAATACAATTCAAATTTATTTAAGATCGATTTTTCGTACCCTTTCAACTCTTCCATTTCGTTATGGAGTAACATTAAAATAAATAAATACCACTGTATCATAGATAATTACTAATGAAATTGAATCTATTTAGCTTAAAATTGAATTCATTTTATAATTCCATTTCGATTAGAATGTTAAGAATGTAAGAATGGAACAAAGTGATGGAAGTTGAATTGCCTGAAATTTATCCATCACACCTCTTTGTGATTTTCCTCACTTTCCGCACTCGATTTCCTTTTTCCTTTGTTTGTCATTTTCTCGCAATCGGACAAGGACGCTTCATAGATGTCTTTTTACCGGTCAGAAATTCATTCACATTCCTTCAACAAAAAAAGCGCAAAATAATAAAATATATTTTTTTTGTGATCGGAAACGATTCATTCTGGTTGGTATCACTCATTTGGACCCGTTCACAGTGAACTTTCTCTGTTCATTGCATCCTTTTTAATCTTTATTTCTGTGCAAAAATGACCTTCCACTTTCATGACCATTTTTGTACTCCAAAAAAAAAGATTTCCAACAAAATTCATAATAATAAGTGCACATATATCTTATCTTTTTCATGATTGGAAAAGCGAATTTATTCTTTATTCTTTAGATTTTTTTTTATTTCATTTCTTTTTTCATCAATACAAAATATTAAAAATGTTTATGCTAATTAATATTGTATGAATACAACTTTTTAACATTTTAACTGTAAATTTTCATAATTTTAAAACAAACTTCACGAAAAAAAATTGTAATCAGTCAAATAAATTTCGTTTTTATATGATGATTGACCGACCGAGTTTTTCTTTCGGTTTTCGTAAGTGACACATTATGAGGATAGCTTCAGTAGTATGAAATTGAAATAAAAGATTAATTTGTTGACAAAAATATTATATCCATGCCACAGATTGTTTACTAAAATCATAGAAATACATATTTTACATCTTAAGTACATCGATACGCAAAAGTTATATCATTCGTATTTCAAAAAAGTTGTACTTTTCATATAAAACATCGTGTGCTCACTATGTGCATATACTCTTACAGTACATTACTAGTTTTGAAAATAATAAACATTAAAAGTACCACGTACCATAATATGAAACATGTAAATTCCTTTATTTTTATGCCTTCATTTTACAAAAATTTGTTGGACATTTTCGAACTCAACTAGTACTTTTATTTCTCAAATAACAAATTACCCACTTTATATATGAGTATTTATTAATATAATAATACAAAGAATAATGCAAAAGCTATATAATATTATTGCGAATATTAAGGAGATAGAGGATAGCATGACAAACGAAGAATTAAATTCAAATTAAATTCATTAAATTTCGAAGGTTAGCTAATATTACGGATATATCCTATCATAGATAATACTTGTATGTTCCATTATCTCACGATGGTTTACAGTACTGATCGATAGACGAGCTTCTAAATGTGTAGCGTCCAGCAATGTCCAAATTCTTGACATCTGTAATGTTAGGATGATGTAATTCTTAAATTATAGAGGACTAATGGTGAATTTTCATCTTTTTTTTGAAATAAAATAAAATGAGAAATTTTATTTTTCTTTTAAAAATCTTTACATCAATTAAATAACCCTGAGGACTGGGAGATCGTGACTGAAAGTAATTCTTCCAATTCGTCGCATACGCAATTCAATCGAAAGGTCATGTTCTTCGCCTTCCTCTATTATGATAAAACCTTAAAATTGCAAGCAATCATCATAAATATGGCTAAAATAAAATACTGGAAAAATGATATCAGAACAAAAAAAAACATTTTGTACCGTTGCTCATAACCGTATTTAGTGAAATGAGATCGGTACCATTGTTATTGACAACCGATAAAAAACCGTATTCCGCATGCATTTCCTTCCCATCCCAGTTATCCCACGCTCTCGCTCTGTAAACTTTCGAGTAATTTCAAGAATGTGAGAAGCAAATTTTAATATATTTTTGTTTAAATCAATTCTAGGCTTAAATTTCTAATTGAAAAATCAATTTCCAATTGGAAAAAAGTAATAGATTATAAAAAAAAGTTCAAAACTTTTCAGAATTTTTTGAATATAATTCAAGAAGCTATGAGAATTAAAAAGTATTGATTTACGAAAAAATTACATACGTATAGTTAAGCACATCGAGCACGCGATCGCCTTTGGTAATTAATTTAAAATCAATCTCTTCGCCATAGGTAAATGTTGGAATTGTTGGAAAAACTGCTTTACCACCAAATTCAGAACGCCATTTACCGATCAGAAATGCTATACTTTTAAGAGTTACCGGAATTTTCTTCAAATCATACTCTGAAAGTATTTTAGATAATATTCAGTTAAAATAAATTCGAAGAAAATTTATCCTCCTAAACTTTAGTCTCTTATTTCTTACTTTACAATCAAAATAAGATGAAAATATTAGTTTCTCAAAAATATCAACCTTTTGGGGTTAAATCTGAGTTACAAAGTTGACAGCTCTTTTTGCAATGACTATTTGGAAACTCATTAATCAGATCGCATTTTGTACTATTTTCAGCTATCCATGTGAAGCAATACATATCAGAATCTATACAGTCTATTGAATGACCTGCAAAAATGGAAATTACTACTGATTCCCAAGCAGCTTATAATAAGCCTCCCGAATATTCAAAAATTTTAATTTAGTCTACCAGCGCAATGTTAAGTTGCAATTCAAAAATTAAACTTTGAACGATAATGCGCAAAATATGAATTTTTGCAAATTATAGTGCTTTAAAACTGTTCCAGTTCCACATCTAAATATGGCTAAGTAATGTGTTATTTGAAAAGTTAAGATTAGATTTGAAAATTGTGGATATCTTTAATTAATAAGCGTTCAATGAAAAATTTGAAAATTGTGCAAAAAAATTTTTAATACTTGAAAATTTTTTAATATTTAATAAAACTTTTTGTTTAAAATCGGATCGAAAATTTTGGATTAATTAAGTAGTTTTGAAGCATTTGCTATTAATCGTTTTCTCAATAAGTCATACCGGAAAAGTCGTCTTACTCATAGCATATTGTATTTTAATTCATTTTAATTCAAAATTTCTAGCCTACTTCGTTACTTTAGAATTTTATTTCATTTGTATGTTCTAATATAGTTTTCTAAATCTTTTAATATTTTCATATCTATCAATCTTATCATATTTTTTAATTTTGCAATCAATATCTTTAAAAAAATTGAACTATCAGTATTTCTAACGTCATGCGTATCACAAATCAATTTGATGTATTAAATTCGTTATTTCGAATTTGAGCTCATTTGAAACACTTGCAATTACTGTGTTTTTTAATACTTAAAAACATTATCAAATATCTAGTATATATTTAGTTTTTTTTACAAAAAAATATTTAGTGTAAGACAGTCGGCAAAAGATTTTTATTATTTGGATGAAAAAACAGACCTAAAATTGCTTGTAGGTGCAGCAGAATGGAAAGTAATAAATACAGCATGGTTATGGGAAGTGTGGATTTTAAATGACACAGTCCTATCAGTTATATCAAAAAAAATCACTGTAAATATGGACCGTCAATTGTTCCACAAAATAGGATGTGTAATAAATCAAACGGTTCAATATCTTTCATTCAGTTTTCTTATTTCTTCTTCAAATTTCTTAATTTTCTTTTATGAAAACATTAAGAAAATTTTCTCAACAAATCGATGAAATCAATCGCTTTCAATGAATTAATCATATACCTGCTTTGCATATTTTGAAACCTTCACTTTTCCACTCAAAAAATGTTGGACTTAGAACGCGTTCTTCCTGCCTATCTATATGAAACCTATAGAGTACACTTCAGCTAATTGATAAAAATCTATTGTCGATAAAGTTTAGAAAAATCTTTTCTTATAACTTTTAATAAATTCAAATCTATGAAAATGGTGTGCTACTTCATAAATTTTTGGAAACATGAATAATCGTTCTCAAGCATTTACTTTAGACCTATGGGAATGACAATTTCAACACAGTGAGATAAACTGCAGCTCTAATTGGTTGAGCTTGCATTTTCAGCTTTCCTTTTTGATCAAATGTCCCTGACTGATTTTTGCTCTTCTTAAATCACTGTCACATAAATGGGGATATTGCATAAATACCATTTCTGATAAACAACATATTAACAGTACAACTCAATATCACACCTTCAGAATGTATTGCGCATATAAAAGAAATGAAAGCATGATGACAGTTTGAAAATGCACCAAACTTCATTTCTTAATGTTATATGGACGCTATGTAATAAAAGGACAAGTAAATAACTGCTTATCGCTCATGACGAGAAAAGGAATGAGACTCAATATAATAGTTCATAAATACTCTCGAATGAGTTGCAGGTGAATACTTTTCAGCAGATGTGATAAGATGAAAACAGTAGGCTAAAGTGTAAACACAAATATTTATATAATCCATAAAGTTCTATAATATGCTATGTTCTAAAAATATATCTTTTCTGGAACAAAAACAAAAAATTCGATAAAAAACAACGATGTTGCAAAAACTCACCGTGAACAAAACTACGTGGATAAGAATTGAGATAAGAAAATACACCAGGAGATTGCATAACAATACTAATATTCAAGATAAAAACACTCAGGTAAATTACACAAAATTCATATTTTACAAGTTGTAAAATGTTACTGAAGAAATCAAAAGAAAATGTCGCAGTAAAAAAAACATAGTAATTAGCTAATTAGTCAAATGAGAAACCAATAAAAAAGGTTTGACAAATTATGGTATGTTAAAAGAAAATTCACAGAAAATCTGACATGAACTTCTAAAAAAGCTTGAATTAGCGCTGAGTTCAACCATAAGATATTGTAACATTTATTTCATCAGATGTTAACAAATGGCATTGAAATATTGAGATTCCCATTAATTACCTTTCGTCTGGCATATCTGAATTTGCTTTTTCCAAAATATCTTGAGACCCATCGCTATCTGTCTGTAAAGATTACGGAACTGTTACAGTAAAAATATGATTTATGACAATATAGTTTATGGCAATATGATTTGCTTTTGCTTTGTTAAGATAAAATAAAAAAAGCCTGAACAGAAAATCACATTTTTTAATGAACTCTCCTATGTAAATTAATTAATATACAAACCTTACCTGAGATAATTCTGTTTGAGAAATGCTGGGCACAACGCGCGAAGAAAGTGAACGTCGTAAAAGACCACTAAAATTTTGATCAAAAAAAATTACTTCAGGAATAGGAATTAAAATTTATATTTTCAAGTAGTTTATAAATTATTTCATTGGGGATCTCAGATGTTTTGTTAGTCGGAATACAGCTAACATAAAATAGTGTTATACCACACACCTTGTTTTTGAGCCTTTATTTAAAAAATATTTGCTACAGGATATACTGCTGCGTGACGCTTCAGATGACGTGACGGGTATGATATGGTCATCAACATGGTTGCTTTGATTAATATGGTCGTCTTCAGCAGCCTTGCGCGATTTTTTAACAGGTATTTCTACGAAAGCCATAAATTAATTATTGTAAATAGTAATGATTTTTAGGGGCTTTAAAAAATATGTTAAATCATATTTGAAGTTTGAAGAAATATCCTATTATGAAAAAAAATGAAATCTTTATAGAGCTATATGAAATTAGATATATATGCAATCTTCCGAATAAAGTACAGCTTTAACATTATATAAATTTCGTTAACAACAGTAAATTCATACTGATAAGTGCAAATTTTTTTCTGAAAACTATACCGTGATAAGAGTTTGCAGAATTTTTTTGTAGCATGTTTGTTGCAGTAGTAAATTCTTTTAGGAGATGATCACAGTTCCAGTTTCGACGGGCGCCGTTCCCACTTCTTGTAACACCAATAGAATGAACAGGCGACAATTTATAACCGATTTTTGTTAAAATTTGATTGGTTTTTGAAGTTTCTACTAATAATTTCTGCAAATATATTTACATAACAAAAAATTGTGTAATGCTTTAAAGAATTTGAAATTGATGAATTATACCGAACTTTATGTAAATCCCTCGTTCTTTCAGATGAAACAAAGTCGTCGTTGTCGCTGGTTGAACTACTTGTCAATATTTTGGAATCTATTGTCGGCAAGGAATTAGAAATACGCAGCGGTGGTGGTCGGGAAGACTCAATCTAAAAAAACATTGCAAACATGAAGATCGTAACTCAAGAGATTTGGAATATTTATTCTAAAATTACCCACTCTTCTTCTGAAACTAAAATAGCTTTCTCAAAATTTTTGTCACACATATTCCGCTCTGCTTTACTACTACCACCAATTAACAGAAAATTTTGAACTCGCAGACTTGCAACAGTTACCGTGAGTATACCACATGATGATTTTTTTCTGGTTTCTTCATTACATTTTTCCTTTTGTCGCATTTCTGCATTTTTATAGTTGGGGCTCCAAATTGACCAATCGGGCACATTTTCAGGTAGGATTATTTGTTCAGTTTGAGAACTACCAGGGATATTTCCTAAGGCCAAACTGAAATTGGTGCTTCTTAGACAAATAAATTGGCATGCAACAATATGATAAAGATCAGGTTTTCGGCAAAGCAAACCTCATAGCAATTTCTGGTGGTTGAATACTTCCCGCATAAGAAAAATGATCATCACTTCCTTGGCTACTCGAATTAAACTGTAAATATCAAAACTGCTTTAATATTTTAAAATTAAATCTAATCAAAGACGTTATATTGATACTTACTTCATTATCATCCTTACCGCTTTGCTGATGCAGCGGATATTCATTTAATGGGCGCTGTCGTTTCTCAACCGGATCGAAAATAATTTGATAAAGAAATGTATTTTCGGCACGAATGAAGTCGCTAATAAACTGTTTGCTCACTTTTAAGGAATTCTTGTTGAGGTATCGTGGAAGTCGAGGTAGTACCTAAAAGAGATATGAAAAAGAACAAAATTTCTTGAAAAAAAAATTTGCCGATATGTTTTTACTTACCTGATTTAAATTTTTATCACTAGTTTTTGCGAAAAAAGCTGCTGCTTTATTTAAGCCCACTCCAGGAAGACCTGCCTAAAATTGAACAAAATGTTTATTAGTTGTAATTGATTCACTAAAGTATTCTACAAACTAACTAAAAACGTCAAAATCACCAAGATTTCTCACTATGCTGCAGTGACTTTGCAGAAAAATCAGGTGAAAGTTTTATTGTCGCCTTCCCTTTTAGCTTTTGTTTTGTGGATTCTATCTCGAGTCTTCAAAAAGATCTTACTTGTAAGTAGTCACATCCGGAAAGAATGCAAATTCTCCGAAACTTGTCAAAATCAAAATTTTCTGCAAGTGCTCTACACAGGCATTTCGGCAATAAGTTTTGATCAAAAATAACACAAGATCCAGTAGGGTCCATTTTGAAAATTATCTGCAAATTTAAGCTTAGAAATTATTTTCATTTAAGATTTGATTTATTCAAAGCTAAATACCGTACTATCTTTTAGTAAATGAGTAGTGAAGAAGATAACCAACTTTTTCGCAACCGAAAGCAATGAGATCAGAATCTTCAGTAACTACTGCTTGCGCCATTTTTGTTTTGGTTAGAAACATCAGTTGCGCATCTGACTCATAAGGAGCTACGATAACATCAACCATATTCAGACGTCGAAATGCCTTTAATGAACATTGATCACCAAGATTACATGGCAAATAAAATTAAAAAAAGGCTGTTTAATCACGCGTTTGGCGCGCTGTTTTTACAAACCATGCAAATGAGATTTATGGATTCTATTTATCAAGAAAAAAATTATTAAAAATTTCAGAGCTGTGACCGAATTTTAATTTGAAACTGAAGTTTTTAATTCATTTAGAGCACAACTAAAATTTGTCTACGACTTAGTTTTATTGAATTTCCAATGGCTATTATTTATTGGTCTTATTTTATATTTTACTCTAATGTGCAATGTTCATAACTTTTCTGAATACCATCTTCATTACCTGAATAGTGTTTTCAATCACTTTGGGTGTTAATGAAGCACTACGTTTGAAACAATCGTAAGCTTCACTGGCTCTACCTTCGCTCATCAATAAATCACCCCTTTGCTTATGAAAATCACGTTTTTCGCGTCGTGAACTATTAGTTTCCTGCAATTACGAACCTGGAAAAGTGACAAAATCTGTTTTTGCAATAACTTAATTATATTATATCCACAAACAAAACTAACTTTTTTAGCAGGCAGCATTTGTCCATCAAAAACAAGAATAACGTGACAACCAATTGTGAGTAAAGCCTTCACGTATTTCGATACATAGTGTATGTAACTGAAAAACATGACATTTAAACTCGAAAAAAAGAACAATGTCCAATTTATTGTGAAGAAATGACAGCAAAAATTTTCTTCATGGACAACAAAACCTATCTTTAAAAAAAGTAAGTGAGGATAGAATATTATTCGGTGCACACGAGTGAAATGCCATATGTGGAACGGGAAACTGGGAAAGTCAGAGGATCTTACATTCTTTTAAAAAGAACTCTTAAACGGCTGTGTAAAAAATTAAGACAGTTCGTAGAAAAGAAACCAACAAATCGGTTTCACATCCTTGAGCAACTTTATCAGCGCAGCCTATCAATCCTCGATGTAACAGACAACTAACATCTACAGCAATTGACTGATGCGCAAATTCACTGATATTTCCCTAAAAATTAAAATGTTCTACAATACTTGTTTATTACAGATAACAGGAGTGAAATGTTTTGCCTCCACAGAAAACGGAAGTATTGAAACTCCGAATAAGTGGAGCTATCCAGAAATGATCCGTGATCACCGATAATATGAGTGATATTTTTGCCCTCAACTCTTCATTTTTTCAATATGAATATCGCACATTTTCAAGAGCAAGCAAGTGGAGAGACAATGCGGAAAGGAAAAATAAAACTAAATTTTATTGAAAAGCTTACCTGACGACATGCATTCTTTACGAAGGGCAATAAATTGTGTATTCCCATCGCCAGCAATAGCCAATCCTAAAATTTTGCATTTCGATTGCGTTAAATACGCAGCATGTAAATGACTTCAAGAGATGTTCGCTTCCCCGCTCTAAACCACCGTGACCTGTCCGTACGAAATAACGATTTGAATAAATTTCAAACATAAAAATTCGCGCTTCAGAAATGAAGTTGTAATAGATCGTTTGTGAAACAGCAAGACATCGTGCAAGCAGTATGGAAATTCTAGTGGTTTGGATACGATTCGCTAATATTTTATAATGAGTTACTATTGATCCGTGTGCAGATGACAGTGTGTCTCGTTGTCGATGGGCATTTTTGGTGAGGGATATGTTTACTTGGGTTGGTCATCTCTTATTTTTTAAATTAATTTCTTGTCAAAACACTTTTACCACCGATGTTTTATCGTTGCTACACTATTCTGCTGCACTTATATTCATGCATACAAGTATTAATTTTTGTGATGAATCGAGGGACGGGCAAAGGAGCGGTAACAAAAGGATGTCTTACAGTCACATTTCCATTTAGTCAAGCCACATAGGTATTCCATCCTTACCGCTTTATTGCGATGAACCCCTCTTAACGTGACCCTTTTTTTGCATATATATTGGCGAAAATTTTGAATCATTCGATAACATCGACCTCACTTCAAACTGCGATCATCCATGAAAGCAATTAACTGCTACGATCTCCATTTAGAAATTTGATCATCTTTGATTGAAGAGACAAATGGATAACGGAGTAGTTTGTTGGTAGGTGGATTTGCTATATAATTGAGTAAAGAAAATCTCATGCAAATTTTGTTTCATTGATCCAAGGATTCGCTTTCAAAGTTAGTGTTTCATCTTCATCTCGTTCTAGAACTGTTTTAGGCAACTGTTGTTAATTACTATTTCCAATATTTACAATATCTCGTGATGGATGCATCGAACGGTTTTACTTGTTTATGTTGTCAAGTTATGTTTGGAAATGGTAACCTACAACGAGAACATTATAAAACGGATTGGCAT